TTAAGCCCATCTCCTCTAAAGCATGAATAATAGGTATAAAATTATCAAAAAAAACATCAACACCTCTCAGCTTTTGAACCCATCTTGTTCGACAAGTATCTTTTATTTTTTCTTGATTTGGACTTAAATATTTTTTGAGACAGTTACTACGTTTATGAGATAAGTTAAAAAAATAAGAAATTTCTTTTACTTGGCCAAGAAGATTTTTTACTTTTTGAACTTGGCATGCAGCTGCTACTACTAAACTAAGTCTATGGCTTGCACAATGAAAAAATATAGCTTCACGATTAAGAGCTTTTATTCGAGAAGCAACTCCTTTATACTCACCTGCCATACAACCTGCACTGTCATACCCTTGGCCTCTACAATTTTGAATATCAAGTCCAAACTCTTGAAGTGCATTAAGTACATTTAGAGATAGACTAAGACCAGATGTACCAGTCTTGCAATCAATAAATCTTAAGAAATCCTCGCAAATCTCATTATTTGAATTTACATATCTTAAAACAAGTGACATTTGTTCAGTATTTGAACAGTCAACTGCTTCATCACAAAGAATTGAAAAAAAAAATTGAATGCTTGACATTTTTTATTAAAACTTCCTCAATTGCTTTCCCACAAGAATCAATAAGTTAATTTTGGGTAGTTTTTGATATATAGGTTGCATTTTTTGGACTTGAAAAAAGATGATTAGCTAATACTTGATCACCAGCATTAACACGAAAATTTAAAAGCTCTATGAAGTTACCGACTCCAACTTTTTGTGTAGAAGATTCCCCAATATCAGGATGATATTTGCTATCATCACGATGTCCACGAAATGCTAGATCGTTTCTACCAAGAAATATTATTGTTTTAATTATTGGAACTAATTTTTTTCGGTTATCAGAAAGAAGTTACAAACGAGAATTATTTAAATCAACCTCAATAACATTACTTTTGGATTTGCAACTTGAAAGCAATGCATTAAATGAAAGCATAGATTTTTCATGTAAAACACAATTTTCCTCATGTTTTCTATAATCACGAACAGCATTAACCCACTCTTGATGGGGCTTGAAAACTAAATTTAATATTCCAGACTTATTTTGAATACTAGCACCTAGCAAAGTACAAGGAAGACAGTAAGCTTCATCTTCTTTGCTAAAATAAGCTAACCAAGAAAACTGGCTAAGCCATTCAAATTTAAATGATCTTTTTGTATTAAAAGATATTGGAAAAACAAACATAGAATTAGGACAAAATACTTTGTTTACCATATCTAACAAAATAGAATCATCTTTGCCAGCAATTAAAAGTTTACCTTGAACAAGATATGTTGAAACATCATACAAAGAATTTAATTCATTATATGAAGGAATAACTGAGTTGGAGTCTAATGACTTAACTATTTTTGAATCTACAGAAGGTTCAAAAGGCAACTCTATGAAAGCATTGTCTTTTTTAAAGTTAATTTTAGATTGAATTTTGACATGTTTTGCAGAATCAAGTTTTTTTTTTTATTTGTTTCAGTTTTAGGACTAAAAAAGTTTAAAGGATAAGTAGCATCGTTTTTTATAGCCAAATTCTTATTATTACTAGAAATTAGTTTAGGCTTTTTAATAATTGGTACAAAATGGTTCGGTGTCCAGTTATTATTATTTTGCATCACTGACATAATATCAGTATTACACCATAAAATATTTAAAACATTTTGATCTTGATTTTTAATTGAACGAAATGGAAAAATAATTGTATTAAAAAGTTTTTTGAACTTTTCTAAGCCAAAATCTGGATAAATTGATCTAATAGGAATATAAAATACCATTAACATTAATAATAGGGTTTTACCTTAAAGCAACATAATCTTTAGTATCTTCTTGCTTTGGGATAAAACGATCCATTTCAGTATTTTCAGATACTGACTATGTGACTGAACTGGACTCTTATTATTTAAAACTTTTAATTCTTCAGTCAACTGGTTTTTATATTTCCGAATATTTGGCAAATGTCTAGCCTTAATTTGAGACTAAAAAATTCATTTTTTTTTTAACTTCAGTTTACAAGCAAAGTCCAACGACGAAAATTACGAGCGAAGAACCTTTATCTGGTAGCATATCAGAATTTTGTAAAATTTGAACGATTTGGAGCAACTGATGCAATTGCTCTAAACTTTCTACAAATATGATTGGTTATAAATAACATTTCTTATATTTTTTGTAAAGTTTTTTGCGGAAGTTTTGTAGCAACTGATGCAATTGTTATTTTATTAAATAGTGATTGGTTTAAACTGTTTTTTAACCAATCATTAATGATTTAGAGTACAATTGCATCAGTTGCTACAAAGTGATCGGAAAAATTTATGAAAAAGTACAAATATAATCATATTTGTACTTAAAACGTACTTTTTTTTTTTTAAACCAATCACATTTGTATTTAATGAAGAACAATTGCATCAGTTGCTCCAAAACGCAGGAATTTTGTATAAGTAACGAATAAGTAACGAATAAGTAACTATAGAGATAAAATAAAATCGAGTTTAAATTAATTTTTTTCGAGTTTAAAACAAGTATTTTATTTTTTGTGAATGCCAGATTCCAATTTCTACTTTTACTTTTTATTAAGAAAAAAAAGTGAAAAAGAGATACACTTAAATTTAGCGTTGAAAAAAGACTGATGCATGCGCATCATTCGCGACACCCTGGATCCGCCCCTGGACTGGATAGTTTAATATATAATTTTAAATTTTCTTAAGTTTAACATGCTTGCGTAGCACAGTGGTTTTCAATAAAGATGAGAAGTCGGAAGCCCGCGTTCGATTTCCTATAGAAGACTTTTTTTTTTTTACTGCCTGAAGATGGTTTATAAAAAAAAATGAAATAAAGAAAATGATCATCATTATATATAATATATTTTAACTGCTTTTCCACATTAGCAATACACTGACGGCATATACTTATTACAATAAATTGTATATTATATTGTACATAAATACATTTTTTTTGTTTAAATATTTGTCAAATTTTTTTATTAAAAAAAATAAATATTTGTTTCATTTTTAGAGAGTTCATCCATTTAAAATGGTATAAAAGAAGGTAAAAAAATTCTTTGGTTAAAAACGAAAAATGGGGGTCATTGGAGAATGTGAAGAAGGATGCGGTGAAATCAACTCTTGAGAAATATGGAATCATTAAAGGATACGAGAGTTTAAAAATAAATCAAAAAAGTTTAGATCAACTTGTTGTAAATTTTGTTGTTAGTGAAACACAACCTTTATCTATAGTTGATAAACCATCGTTTGTAAATTTGGTAAAGTTAGGCCTTCCTAAAAACCTGAAAACTGTTTGCAGTAAAACTTTAAAACTACGTATTAATAGTCTATATTCATCATTGGTTGAAAGTATTACTTCAACACTTGGAGATATTGTGTATGTTGCAACCACAGCTGACTGTTGGAGCAATTGGATAGATGAAAAGACTCTTCAGCGTACTTCAGTATCTTTAGCATGTAGCCGAATAAAAGGAAGACATACATATATTGCTTTGGCTTTTGCTTTGTATAAGATTCACACAACCCATAAAATACAAAACAAGATAGTTGCTACAACAACAAACAGTGGCTCAAATTTTGTAAAAGCTTTTAAATCATAAACTGTTTCCGAAAATTTAGAGAATCAGGAGGATAGTAATGAAGATGATGATGATGATGATGATGATGATTTATACGGTGAAAATAGGAGTTTGTATGATATTTTGGACAAAAACATTCATGAGCAAGAAGAGAGTGACATACTTGTTCAGTTACCACAACATTTTAGAATTGCTAGTCATACACTGGACTTAATAGCAAAAAATGATGTTGAGAAAATGGTACAGAATTCACCTAGTAATTTCAAGAAACTTTATAGGAAAGCAATGGCAAGTGTTCAAGTAAGGTGTAAACAAAATATGTCAAATAGAGTTGCAGAAAAAATTTACAATAATCCTAATGTTTATTTAAGAACACCTAATAAAACAAGATTGAACTGTACCTATGATAGCTTATTACAAATTAAAAGTATTTTTTCAGACTTTAATGGACATAACAAAATGAGCAATATAATGAATTTTTGTGAAATACTAAGATTCACAAATCAAGAAATTCAAATAATTCAAGAATACTGTGAAGTAATGACTCCTCTGGCCCAATCTTTAGACTTTTTACAAGGAGAAGAATCAATGTTTATGGGGTATTTATTACCTGTGCTTTACGCTTTAGATAAAAAACTAACTACTTTGCAACAAAAAAATATGAGCTTTTGTGGCCCACTTGTCAACACAATAAAATCTTCAGTTCAAACTCGATTTAGCGCTATATGGGAAAAAAAAAGAACTAATATTAGTACCGTGTTTGTTGCTTCGTTTTAAATTATTATGGCCTGATGGTATCAAACATTTTACAGTGGAAGTCTTATTGAAATCTTTGTTTGAAAATATGGATCATAGGCCTAGTTCAGCAGCTTGTGAAATGGAATCTTTTTCACATACAATTACCTGTTTACCTGTAGAAAGCAACATAGTTAAAAGTTCAGGTCTTGAAGAGTTAAAATTATATTTAAAATCACAGTCAAGAGAGTTATATGTTTTATTATTATACCCAGCAGTACTGAAAGTCTTTTTAGAACTTAACACACCTCTTCCACCAAGTTCACCGGTCGAGCGACTATTTTCAACAGGGTCTAATGTGATGGCTGAAAAAAGATATAATTTGGGTGATTTGTTTTTTGAAAATTTAGTTTTATTAAAACAAAATAAAGTTGAAGTTTAAAATATTTTTTTTTTTTGTATATTCTACTAGTTTCTAATACCATTTCGCTAATGCTTTTGAACCGAAATTAATATATAACATATATATGTGTAAAGTTACAGACATAGGCAGACTAGGCCGGCAAGAGAGCGAAATATTTAGAAAACTATTTAAAAATAATAACAAAAATAAACCTGATATAATAAATTTACTCCCATTAATTTAATAAATAAGTAATTAACAAATTAAAAATAATTTAAAAAAAATGAACGAAGTTGGAACGAATTCCTTTTTTTAAAGAATTTCAAAAAAAATCCTTTTTCTGGTAAGGAACGAGGATCTGGAACGCGCTCTTATTATACGAAATGAACGGAGAACGGAACAAGGTCCTTTTAAAAAGGAACTTTTCAAACACTGTTTATTATATAAAATAAATTGTTATAACATATGTAATCAATATATACCAACTAAATCAAGAAGATATACTAACTAAATCAAAACATAATATTTTAGAGTAAAACTACTTAATGCCATACTTTTGAATAAAATATATTGCAAAAGAAATTTACTCTAGTAACATTTATTTTGAAATTTATTTTAACTAACATATGTTTAGGTGCTGCATAAAAAACTATAAAACAAAACAAAATTTATCAAAAATACTCTTTGAAGAAGTTCTTTCTGCATGGTTTAGTAATGCTCAAGATAAAGGCAAAGACGGCCGAATAGAACGAATTTCAAATGCAGCATCAAAGACAGAAAAGAACATATAGATTGTACATAATGCAGCAGCAAACATGTAACGTAAAGAACACAGCAGCAAACAGTTGTATATATAGAGATTATATATGTAATAACAGTTTATTTTATTCAGTAAAGCATACATGTATATGCCCTTGTGTTTTCAATTTGCATATAAAACATTTAGCTTTTTAAACTTTTATAAAAATTTATCATAATTAAATTAATCATTTAGTTTGTTTAAAATAAAAAAAAATTGCTTTAAACAAATTTTCGTTTATTTAAGGTATAAAAAATCTAAGTTATACATAGTAAAAAATAAAAAAATATCTCTGGAAAAATTCTGGGGTCAATAGAAAAAAAAGAAAGCGCAGCCGAAATATTTATCGTTTTTTTTTTCTATTTGGCCCGTATGGTATCCATATAGATCCCGCGGCCAAATCCCGTGCGGGTCCCATTTGACATCCGGTACGGGTCCCACACGGCACCCGCATCACAATACTGGCTGGGCATGGAATAGACTACAATTTTAAAACCTATCTTTTATTGTATAATTTATAAGACTAGATTAGTGTTACAAACTTGATTTAATATTAATACATCTTAAAATACCTATTTATAAGAATTTGTAAATGAAATTCATATTTTTATATAGTTAAAACATGAAAAATATTGATATTAACTCATATATAATACAAGAACTTAACTAATTCTAATACTTTAGATGCAGTTGTTAATGGCATAAACTTAACAGCAAATAATAACTTGTCTAAATTCATAAAGCATTTTGACAAAAGTGGAATACATGTAAATAATCGTTTTAAAGAGAATAACAATCAATAGCTACAAAATGAGCTGAAGTCAGTTCAATTTGTAATTGGTAATTAGAAAATTCTACAATTTGCTACCATTGATAAAGAAAACTCTGCTCTTATTCAAATGTTGTATCATGCAGGACCCAGGTGAATTTTGATATTTTAAGTAGTAAAACAAAGAGAAGAAGATTGACGCCATTAGTTGCATCATGTTTAACTTAAGAACTATTGTTTTCATCATGTTGTAGTTTGCGCCAAGATAGTAAAGAAAAAGAAGTTAAAGCTGTTTTACAATTATCAGAATAATATGAATTTTGTATTCACAAAAGATTTAAGCTTAAAGTTCTTTATTATATGGATTATGTAGTAGTTTCATGAAATATAAAATCAAAGAGATATAATAGCTGGAGGGAGAGCGAAGCCGAAAATGATTTCCACCCGATATAGTCTTTATTGTATAATTAATCCAGCGGCAAGTCAAAATGGCGCTTTTGCAAAAAATAGAAAAATTTGAAATGTAATTTGTATGCTTTGAAAGCTGTAATAGAAATGTAATAATCTC